CCTCCTCCTCTTTCTCCCTTTCCTGGGCTACTCGGGCATCCCGACGCCTGAACAGTGAGGGAGCGTCGCAGCCATCCTCCTCCCTTCGCGGCCACTGCGGCGGCGACAACGCCAGCGGCCGCTGCCGCCCGCTCGCGGACCATCGGGCAGCGGAGGGCAGCGGCGCGGCCTGGTGGGCGTGCTGCGTGGGCACAGGCGCCCTCGCGTCGCCTCGGGGGGAGGGGGGCTCGGCGTATGCCTCCTTCCCTCCCTCCCTCGCTAACCCGCTCGCTCCCTCACCCCTCCTCCTCCTCCTTCTCCTCCTCCTCCTCCTCCTCCTCCTCCTCCTCCTCGTCCTCCTCCTCCTCCTGCTCCTCCTGCTCCTCCTCCTCCTCCTCTCCTCCTCCTCCTCCTGCTCCTGCTCCCTGCTCCTGGCTCCTTCTCTCCTCCTCTCCTCCTTCCTCCTCCTCCTCCTCCTCCTTCTCCACCTCCTCCTCCTACTCCTACTCCTCCTCCTCATGGCCCTCCATTTGGTGGCCCGCGCGTTTCGCCTGAGACCTCCTCACTAGTTATGATGCTGAAGCTGAGAAGTGCAACATCTTCACGGATGGAGGACGGGCCGTTTTCCAAATGAGGCTCTCGCCGTAGCGCCGCACACATTTCGTCTTAAACGTTTGCAAGAGATATACGGGTGGAGGGCGGCCCGTGCTAAGAATGCGGTTCTCGCCGTAGCGCCGCACACGTCCGTCTTAAAAGTTTGCAAGGGCTGCACTGGTGGAGGGCGGGCCGTCTTCAAAAGGCGGCTCTCGCGGTGGCGTCGCACACATCCGTCTTTAAAGTTTGCAGTGGCGTCACGGATGGAGAGCGGGCCGCTTTAAAACCGTGTTGTTCGCCTTTGCACCGCGCACATTCCTCGTAAGAGTCTACAGCAGTCTCAAGGATGATTCTGGCTGACATCCCAGAAATGATGTTTGGGCACGATGTGAGACTGCCAGGGCGCAAGAGTCACGTTGATTCGCGTTGCTGCCGTCCCAGGAACGGGCTCCTGGCTTCATTCAGGATCGTCAGGGCGCAACAGAACGTTGCTTCGCGGCGTCGCAGTCCCAGGGATGCTGTTAAAGCACGGTTGAGGAGTTTCAAACGATAGTCAACCAACGGGGCACTTCCCTAAGTGAGAATAGATCCTTGTAGGGAGCTGTATGAGGAGGGTACATGGAGGGAGGGCTTTATTGCAACATCGTTGGGGTGTCTTGGGTTTGCACCCCCTCCCCCCTCCTCCTTCCTCCTGCCCCGCTCCCTCCTGTCTCCCCTTCATCCTCCTCCTCCTCCTCTTTCTCCTCCTCCTCCTCCTTTCTCCTCCTCCTCCTCCTCCTCCTCCTCCTCCTCCTCCTCCTCCTCCTCCTCCTCCCGTCTTGAGGACGGTGTCGCGCACGGGAGCCACGTGCTGAGGGCGCCGCGCCGCGGCCAGAGCGGACGCCCACTGCTGGGGCGCCCGGGCGGCCGCCGCAGCCGAAGGTGGCCGGGGCCGCGGGCGTGATCGCGAAGACCGCGAAGTTTCGGGGAGACGTAAGACCCGGGTACGGGGGACTCGGAAATCCCCGACGAGGTCGTCAAAAAAATGACGAGGCCGAGCCTGCATTTTGACGAGGCCTCCCGCTGCAGACATCCCACGAAACTCCTCCTCGTCAAAATCCGAGTCGCGGTCGTCAAAAAACGATGGCGAACCCGAGTCCCGGCAAACCCGGGTCTTACGCTCCCCCGAAAGTTGCCGACGGTGGAACACGTCGAGAGCGCCGCCGGGGTGCCGCTCGTCGGGGGTGGGGACCGGGCACTCCGTGACGGCACCGGGGGGGAGGTCTCCGCGCGGGGCGACGACGCATCCGAGCTGGCGAGGGGCGCCGAGGTGGATGCGGTCGCGGACCCAGAGATTCAACGTATGGAAAAAAGCAAGGCGGAGGATTTTCGCAAATTTCGGCCCCTAGGGGCCCTCGCCGGGCCTCGGGGCCGCCAAAAAACGACTCAGGATGAAAAACTGGTCCTGGGAAATGGGTCGAGACTTCCAGGGACCCCGTATTGAAAAAAACACGACACAGGATCTCTGGTGAGGACGACCTCGAGGAGTGCTTCCTCGCGGAGTTGGCGACGGAGGCGGCGCCTCCGCACTACTCGGAGGCCGAGCATGAGCGCATCCTTGCGGCCTTCCTGGGGCAGCAGGTGGGGGTGCTCGGCACTGTCGCGGGCGCGGACGTCGTGCTGCAGGGGGCCGAGGCTAAGACCACCGAGGAGGGCCTCTCGCCGCGGATGGTGCAGCACGAGCTTAAGGCTGGCGTTCGGCAGGAGACGGGCGAGGTGGACGAGCTGCGGGCCCGCGCGGAGCGTGCCGAGACGCAGGTCGATCGCCTTCTGGGCGAGCTGATCGCGCCGATGCACGTGCCGGGCTCACAGCTGCGGCCGAGGCGATCGCGAGGGCCGTGGAGGCGCCGACGTTCGAGCACGTCGAGAGCGGCGTCGCCGTGGAGGTGCCACTGGTGCAGGGCGGGGAGGGCACGCCGCCGCCCTTGGAGGACGGCGTGTGCAGCGACGTGGAGGCCAGCATCCAGGTGGCGGGGCCCAACGCGCTCGCCGCGGTCCCTGCCTGCCCCAAGCTGGTGAACAGCCTCGTGGAGAAGTGCGCGGAGCGGCCCAACTCTCCGGGCGACGTCCACGAGTACGAGAAGGACGAGATGAAGGAGCTGGACGACGAGGGTCTTTCGTTGGGCTCGGGCGGGAAGACTAGGAGGCCCTGCACGTCCTCGACGCGGACGGCGAGGAGGAGCAGTGCGACCGCTCGTACTCGTGCGGCCAGGGTGGGGACGATGAGGGTGTCGGCGACGTGGCCGCGCCGCCGCACGGGACCACGGGGACCGCGATCGACGTGGACGAGCGGGAGACCATGCAGGTGGGGGCGCACTCGTGGCCGAGGAGGGGCGGCGACGGGATCGC